TCGTTCAACATTGAACCACTTTTCTGAATGATATATTACCGTTATTACCGTATTATCTCGTTATCTTAAAACGTTTTTTTATTCTCAAATCGCGAAAGTGGATAGAAAAATCCAAGAATTTATTTGCTTATTTGAAACAGAAAAGTAAATTGACGCGAGAGCGTCCTATTTAAAACAGGTGTTACAAGTGCATGTTTCGCCCAACAACCGTGGCGCTTTCAAACGATACTAGTGTTTCTTCGTAAATGTTTATTATGAATTTCGAATTGTAATGATATTTATTAGAATTACGTATTTATTTATAATGAATGCTTTTATTTCTCAATTTCATATTCAATCACTTTGAAATCTTTTATGCAACAACTGTTTCATTATATTTTATCAAAAAATATCAGATTAAAAGACATCAGTATCTTTCTATTAAAGAAATTATAAAAACTATTTACTTAAAGATTATTATAAAAACTATTCGATAATAAAAAAAAAGTATCATTAAATTAATAAACAAATTTTAATAATACTAAATTTTCTATAATATTACTGTTACTGAACTTATAAGAGAACAAATATGAAAATATAATATATTAATGTTAATGTCATACATTTTATAATTTTTTTATTAAAAACTGAAAGTATCTATATATATATTTTTTATATTTAAGATAGAAAACTACTGTAGTTTTGAAAGAAAAATGATGAAAATATTCATCAATATCCCATAATTGATCTATAATCATCCATTACAACAGCAAATAATGGAAGAAGGATAAAGTTAATTGGAAAACTGACTATCAGTGCCATCTCTTGAATTACAAAAACATTTACCTATCAAACCTTACCATTCAAGAGATGGCGCTGAAGTTCAATTTTGATTCACTCTACTTTATCTGCTACGAATAACATCACATAGATAATATACTTATAAATATTTATGTATATAATTTGTTTATAAAAAGGAAAATTAACTAATTTTTAATTTCTACATGTTTTGATATTAATTATCTTCTTTCCAGATAATTCTATTTTTCCTAATTAATCTATTAATTCTGCTTTCAAGCATATTATTTTTCTTTTTAAAATAATTCCTTGAATTACTTAAAAATAACTTATCGTTATAATATATTTATTTAAAAAAATGGCAAAAATATGATTAAAAACATAATATTTTATTTATGAAATCAATTCATGTTTTAGAGATCTGCAATATCGACAATATTTACAAAAATTATTTTTCTGAATCCCATGAAATATGATTGTTTTCGAATAAGATACAAATCATTATTGATTCATTTCACTCTTATTAATACATTAATAATTATTCATAACATGATTATATTTTACCAACAAAAGATAAATGAAATCAGTATCAAATTTTAAATCGATTATAATGAATCACGAATATCCATAAACTGATTGATCTATACTGTATTTATAATCTAATCAAACTTTTATAAACTTATGTTTTTTTAATAGAATAATGCCATTAACAACATTTTCTATTCCATTTCTATCCTTCTTACATTATTTGCTCTATTTGTCTATATTTGCTGGATAATTATAATTTTATTCTTAGACGATATATCACAAGTTTCAAAAATCAAAATGAAAAAGTACAAATAACATAATAAATCCCAAAAAAATCCTATTCTAATCTAAATCGCGTGCGCAGCCAATTAGCTCATTATATTTTCTATAAAATTTATAATCGTATCCATGATACAATTATGAATAATATAGCAAATAATAATGATTTTCCAGGTCTCACCGCGTGGAGGTTGCTGCGAATTGGAGACCCACCCTATCCACGGTCCCATCCATCCTCCTTCGCGGAAAAAATTATTGGAAATCAATCATAAATCTTCCTTTCGATGTAGCTTTGCAAAACGTTCTTCAACGATCTTTGATCGTTGTGCAAAACAAACAGCAAAAAGAATTCTAAGAAAATCGACGCGATAAGCTAAACCTGAAAATAAAAATAAAATTGTATCGTACATAACTCTACATGAGAAACATTATTTGAGTTACGTATATCAACAATATTTTATTCATAAAATAAAAAATTTATATTCATATAAATATAAAAATATAATTACGAAATAAAATACAAAAAAATGAAATGTAATTCACACAGAGTTATTATATAAACATCAGCATTTTAATATCAATACTACCATTTATTAAGCATACACATACAAATATATGCTACTTTAAGCAATTCTATAAGCAATCTACTAATATTACACTTATATATTATAAATTTACAAGATTTCACTTAAATTTAACTTAAAAACTAACCTTAAAAATATCCTAATTATAAATGTAATTTAAAATGATCCTTAATGAACGTCAAAATAGTTTCATCTAACCTACAAATGCAATCCCTACTTACCAGACTATGTTACATAAATGTATTCCTTCTCTAACTACAAAAAAAGGAGAAGGTAGAAGAAGATTATATGAAATACAAGTATCCTTTATTGATTCCACACTAATGTCTGAAACAAATTAAATTACAAATAATCAGTAATATTCCGTAAGATGTAAGTACTCATTAATAGATGAAATACTTAAATATCTTTTATTATATATTTATTTGAAATACATAAATGGTACTTCCAAGAGTTAATAAACCTAAAACAAATTTATTCATACGATTAGTATATAAAAATATATAAAAATACTATCGAAAAAAATACTTAAAAAAAAAAAATGAATCTCATATAATGAACATTTACTACTATTTGTTATAAACAATCTTTAATTATCAAAAGAAATAAAATTTATTTTTTTTAAGTTTTTAAAAAAACCTTAAAAACAGAAAAAATAAATATACATATTATAGTAATATTTCATTCAACAAATACAGAATGTGATAAGGGATGCTGAAAAAGAAAAAATAATTCAGTAACCAGATGGGTTACTAAAATAAATATATTTTTCCACTCGATATAAAACCCGAGCAACAAATTACGAGTGGAATATACATTTTGTATCGAGACATATAATAAATTAATATTTATTACAAAATAAAAAATTTTTTCAATGAATCACGATGAGTGCTTTACAAGATTTGCAATTATCAAAAAAAAAAAAAAAAAAAAAAAAAAAAAA